CAATGTTGTCCTCGTTTTATGATTACGACTCAACTTTGGCTCCTGCTTTGTAAAATGGGACGCTGGACCCGGTTTACAGCAGGTGCAGCTCCCCACCAATAGATTGGAGCCATCTTCTACAGGGGTCCTATTAGTGGGGGATTCTCCTATCACCTCCACTAATAGGCCTCACTTGGATGGAACAAAAAAAAAAGAAAAAAACAGGAAGATGACATGAGGTTTAAGTGAACATTTGATGATGCTTTTAAGGATATCTATGCCATTACTCGGCTTGTCTTCGGTTCAGTAGAAACTATGAAAATGATGTGAAAACGTGTGAGCCACTCCAAACCTTACTTCTACCAAACCCTACATTCCAAGTGGCGCTATCTGCTCTCTGAAACGCTGTCCTGGCCCGTCTGGGAGTGACCAGGGTAAGTAGCGGTGGTGGGACAGCATGTTGTCTGAGCGGAGTGTGTTGATTGTCGTGTCCGTGGTGTGGTGTTGTGTGTGTGTGGTGTGAGTTCAAGGATGCTACAGCCCTGCAGGTGGGCTGGATATGAGGACTGGTATGGATCCAGTTTTCATGACACCTCCAAGGGTTGTAGTGGTTACGAGACTTTGTTCTTGACGCTAAGGGTGCCGGTTCGAGGCCGTGTGTGCACGGCGGGGCCTGATGCCCTAAATGCACTGTTTGATCTAGACCACTGAACATCGCAATTTTCTCTGGCATCAGATGACCTCTACCGCCACAGAAACCCTGGGTCCAGTGTCTATAAAAGTCTGAAGAAATTCATTGAACACAATGTAGATGAGCAGGATGTCGAGATTCTCCCCCACCCCCTCCCCTCCTCCCTTCCCCCCCTGCCCTGCCTGATAAGTGTAAAGTAGGTAGTTGAAATCCAATTTGGCCCACTCTGCTCTGCTGGCGAGCCGCGCTCGCAAGTTGAACAGGGTTGCATGTTTGAACTGGTTTTTTTTTTTTTTTTTTTTTTTTTTTTTCCAAGTCCATGGTGTTGTAGAGGCCAGTCACTGAGTACACAGTGATCACCTAGAGCGGTACGCCGTGGGTGTCCTGGAATATGAGACCACCTCCCATCCCATCCTCACGTCAATACTCCTAGCACACCCCCTATTCCACTACACTACCTCAGTGTGACCAGCACTCAGGACCATTACCCTACCAATGGGCAGGTGACTTGGACCGAACAACAGTGATATGCACTAGGGGGCAAGATACAGTTTGGCAAATGCACTTCGGGAACTCTACCTGGCTGGAAAGTTGGGTTGTATACATTGCCCGAACTGCAATTCGAAACTGTATCTTGGCCCATAGTGCAAGTATAACTCATTTTTGTGACTCCCGCGTTGTAGCGGACCTCCGGTGGGCCTGTGAGACCAGGCCCTTGGCCTTGGCCTGTTCTCACAGGCCTGTGTTTTATTCGGGTCAGTCCAGTCCAGGCCGGTACCTCTGTCGGTACCAGCCAGTCCAGTCCAGTCCCGTCAGTCCGCTGGGGTATACCCCAGCCTTTGTCTGTTTTTGAGCATTCTTCACTTGCACATTTTGGAGTACGTGCGTTGGAGTCTTGCGTGGGGAGCTGCGCTGTGCACCTTGCTCCCTCGCTGCCCCGCTGCTCCGCCCCGCCCCGCTCCCGGATTTATCTTATCAAGATCGAGGAGTTTTTGCTGCCGCTGGGGTTTGAACCCAGGCACCTTCCGAGCCATGCGCGTGCGTAAGCAGCCTCATAACACACTCGCCACAGCGTGTCCATGGCTGTGTAGCACGGCACACTCGTGTTAAAGAGGTGTCGTGCTGGCTATTTACCCCCCCCCCCCCCCCCCCCCCCCGGCAGATGTGTATAAGAGACATGTCCATGGCTGTGTAGCACGGCACACTCGTGTTAAAGAGGTGCCGTGCTGGCTATTTACCCCCCCCCCCGCCCCCCCCCGCCGGCGAGCACTGCGCAGCGAGCAGCAGATCAGCAACGGGTGGGCTAGCAAGCAGCAGATCAGCAACGGGCGGGCTACTATTTGCCCCCCCCTACCAGCCAGTCCAGTCCAGTCCCGTCAGTCCGCTGGGGTATACCCCAGCCTTTGTCTGTTTTCGAGCATTCTTCACTTGCACATTTTGGAGTATGTGCGTTGGAGTCTTGCGTGGGGAGCTACGTTGTGCACCTTGCTCCCTCGCTGCCCCGCTGTCCCGCCCCGCCCCGCTCCCGGATTTATCTTATCAAGATCCAGGAGTTTTTGCTGCCGCTGGGGTTTGAACCCAGGCACGTGCCGAGCCATGCGCGTGCGTAAGCAGCTTTATAACACACTCGCCACAGTGTGTCCATGGCTTTGTAGCACGGCACACTCGTGTT